CGAGTGGGAGGAGCTGCAGTGCTTCTCTTGACAGCCTCTGAGGGCACTGAAACACGTGTTGGGAAGCGTGGGGGTTGTTGTTGTGTTCCTAAGAACGATATCTTGTGAGCGCACGCAGAAAAGAAAGGCAATAGGTTATCATTTTTAGCCAGCCTCTGAATCACGTCTCACCGATGAGCGATAACCTATGGAGAAAGAAGGGATATGGTTCAGCCGCCGTGCAGGTGCCCTGCCTGGGGTCCTGGGGGCGCAGCCATCGCTGATGTTTTGGACAGAAGAATTTCGAAGAGCCCTTTCTTGGCTGTGGCTCAGCTGCAGTAACGTGACTGGCATTTTGCTGTGATAAAGGTTACGTGCTTACTGTAAGTATCTGCATAGCACTAAAACTGGTGCCAGTCCTTTAGGATACGCACATACTTCTATGTGCGTGCAGCTAAAGTGATTCTTCCCCGCCTCTTCCCATTCTTGGCTGATATTTACGACACGCTTACCTCCAAATTAGATTCCTGAAAGAAGCCAGCTTGTAAAACCACTCAGAAAACAGGAAGGCTTAGTGGTGTAAGACAAGTCTGAACAAAACCTGTCCCCGTAAGAAACTTTAACTCCTTTACATTCTGAGGATGCGGTCTGGCAGGCTGTGTAGTGCAGTGCTGTGGGGCAGGGGCAGAGATGGGGTTAGGGAGCAAAGAGGGCTTGGAGTAGTTGTCATCTTGCACAAGAGCTTGCTCAAACAGTACCAGAAACTCCCTTGTTATCTTGCACCATGAGCAAACATGAGCTGTTTGTGCAGAATACAGAGCGGCTCCTTATTGGAAAAGACCAAAGAAAAACAAATATCAAAACATTTGCTCAACTTTCCCATTTTCTTAAATGTTTGCTGCTCGTATTCCAGCCATTCCTCTGCAAATCGCTGTGTCACAGGCAGATGTGTGGCCGTACAATCGGAGCGCTATTTCTGAGGATTTCTCCTGAGGAAGTCCTCCCTCCTCACTGGAATTCAGGAGGGTGCTCAGGGACTTCCTTCATGTTTGTCAGGTTTCCCTGCTTATTTAAGTTCAGGAAAAACCTTGTTCGGTGCCAGATTCTCAGCGGATGTGCTGTCTGCTATGGCCTTGGAATTCCTGTGACTAACCGTTATTTGTTCATTACTTTCTATATTCAAATTTTGTTACCCAGACCTCTGAAAATACTGAGTCTGGCAAGAAAAGAGAGAATTTTCATAATTCCTCCTACTGGCAACCATCTGCACTCTGCCGAGGCAAGAATTTGCTGTTGTAATTAGCTGTCCCGCACAACTCGGCCACCACTTGCCCTTCTGAGAAGCCATTACGTGATGCAAAAGGAAAGAAAATGCATCCTCTTTTTCAGTTCTGTATTGCAACAGGGAAAGTAATAAGACACAATACTGAAAGGAAGACATTTCAACAGGGGTTTATTAGGTACATAAACATAAATACTTTCCATGAATAAATAAACAAGTAAATAAATATTGAAGACCAACTACATTCTTACATTAAAGTAAATAAATATGCAAAAGTAAATAAATACCAATAAATAAATAAATAAATAAACCCAGTGCTTTTTTCTAAACAAAAGACAGCATTAAAATATATGTTTATACCTTCACAACACTAATTCACAAGAAATAATATCTTGAAAATGATGGCACAAAACCTGATGTCTCGCAATTTTGGCTCTCCAATTTTGCAAGCCCCCCCCTTCTGGTCAGCAGCGCACGCTGGGTGGCAGCGACCTAGGCAGAGCTGATGCCACCTATCTCTGCTTTCCTGGAGAGAAGGAGTCGCTGCTCTTTTCCTAACCGTTCTATCTCTGCTTTCCTGGAGAGAAGGAGTCGCTGCTCTTTTCCTAACTGTTAGCAAAGAGGGAAGGGGTCGCTTTGTGAAAGCTCTGCTGAGAGTGCACTGCACCGATCCAGCTGTCTTTAGCAAAAATGACTGCAGAATCGTCTCCGTCTCCTTTCACAAGCCGTTTTTTCTGCCAGCTTTTGCTGGTGTCAGTGGTTTCTCTCCTACCTAATGAGAATTCTTTAAAAGACTTAAAGTACTGCTGTCAACTAACTGCAAAAACAGGGAATCCATGCTCTCTAGATGCTGTTAAAAGTGTGAATGTAGGAGGCAGGAGGAGGTGAGCTGCCAGAAGCTGGATAAGGGTCTCTCCCATTTTTGCCTTCCTGGAAGAGTTAGGACATTTTTCTTCTTTGTCCTAGGACACTGTCTCAGGTTTGGCGTTTGCCCTAGAAAGAAAGAAAATGGAAAAGGAGACCATTAGAACTTGTCCACGGAACAGGTATCACTCGCTGGAATCGGACGAAATCCACCACTAAGGGTTTGCGCCTCTGTGTCCAAGCCCCCTAAAAGCTGCTCCTGAACCTAAGGGACGCCGGTACATTGCAGCCTTTTCCCAAGGACTCGGTCACTGTCGGCTTCCTTGGTGCTTCACTTGACACCTCTCGGGCCTGACTTGTCCCCCACTCATCTAGACGCCATGAGTTTTGAAAAACTGATCGCTGCTTTCTACAACTGCAAGCAAGAGGAACCCGGTCGGTTAACGCCTGGATTCCCTGAGCACTTGAGCTGCAGGTTTTCAACATGCGTGTGCCTTACGAGAGATGGAGCTCACATTGACACGGGGTGCACGGCACAGTAAGCGATCAAATCTCATGCTGCAGTTAAAGCTCAAAGCAATCACAGCGTTTGTCCCAGTTAGTGAACACAAACGGTAGTAACTGCCGGAGGAGACAGAATTTCTGAGCACTTTACGCTGTGCACGTTCGCTAGCTCATTTAAAATACATTTTTTGGATAAGCCGTGCTCATGGAGAACAAACGACTCACTTGTCCAGAATGGCCTTGATGATCAGCTTCACCCAGGGAGCCGTGGGGTCCAGGCACACTTCTCTGCCGTCTGTCAGGGTAGCTCTGCGCCAGGGAAAAGAGGAAGGGGAAAGGTCTACTTAGTGAATTCCAAGGCAATTTCCCTTTTCTCTCCTAACATCGTTCTAGCTGTACACTTCCACGTTCCCCTTTACTGTAAGCTGGATCGGTTGAGGCTGTAGCCCAACATAAGGCTGTTTTTTTTTTAAATGGTTTCACCTCTTTTCATATCTGTTTGTTTGAATGCATTAAATCATTTGCAGGACTCTCACTCTTTTCAAAACTGCTTCTTTTTTTTCCCCTGCTTGCTTTGTGTTTGTGATGGTGTTTAACTGAAGGGCTAAATCTTTCCATCTTGATTCAGAAACCGTACTTGCCAGTCCATAGGAATTTTGTTACAGTAAGAGTTCTGGAATTGTGACCGGATTATGTGATTGGTACGCTAACGGTAGTTTTTGTCATTGACTTAAGTAGAAGTGTGATCGCATTTTTGGCCTAGCCGTTAAAATTCGTGTTTCGATCACCTGCTCAGCATGGCTCCACGAGTTCAGTTTTCTTCTCACATGCTGGTGGAATTCAGAGTTTGAGAAAGTTATTTGCTGGCTGATGACTGCGGGTTTAGGTTGAAATATTGCATGGGGCGTTTAAAAAGCAGAGATTGGCAAAAGCAACACGAAGCTTATAACACGTAGCATATTGTTTGTAAGAGCAAGGAGCGTTGCTGTCCTGCATTCTGAGTAGCCGCGCCTGCTGGCTTGTTACATCTTTCGGAGAACATTTTCATCATCCTTAATGTAAAACCTGTTTCCTTCTCGTTAAGTAATCGTGAGGATTTTGCAAAAGCACTTACATGACTTCAACGTTCTTGCAGTGAGGTCCACTGGGGATGAGGTTCACGTTACGAATGAACTTGGGATGGATGAACTTGGAGTGGGTGCTTACGCACTGGCACCGGAGTTCAATTGCTGAGCGGGGCAGGGCCTTACCTGTAAAA